AGGCTGCTTAGCCAATGAGGGGCACGTGAGTGCCCATGCCCATGCTGCGCAGGGCCCGGCAGCGGCCCCTGCCCTGCCTGGCACAGCGGGGCTGCGTCCCAGCACATGTGGGCCCCCCAGGCCACTCAGCGGGGTGCCAGCAGGGCAGGCGTTGGTGCATCCTCCCCAGGCACCCACAAACCCTCCAGGCTCCTCGTACCAGTCCCTGCCCAGGGCCGCTGGGCTCTTGGGTGCCTGTTGGTACCTGACAGAGCCTCTGCTCCAGCAAGGCATCCCAACAGCGTCCCGAGCCCGGCATCTCTTCCAGCACCTGAGTGCCCTTTTCTCTGCATCCACCACCTCCGCCCACATCCTCCAAGCCCCCTTGCACCCAACACCCCTCGCTGCACCCTGCGGGGGGCCAGCTAAGGAGGTTGAGACCTCCTGGGCACTACAGCATTGAGATGGCTCCAAATCCAAGCACTCTCTGTGGGGCTCAGACTCCCCATGGTTGGGATTGCCCAAGGGCCTTTTTGCACCTCTCAGCCTGAGTCCATCTGTCAATCTATCACCCCCTTGGTCCTTTGTTGCTGGCCCCTCCCGGAGGACAATTTCCAGCCTTGCTGTCCCCCTCCTTCACCTGCCCCCTCTCCCCAGGCCCTGCCACTTCATTACAATGGATTTTATAGTAAAGACATCAGATTGAAGGAAGGACTTGCTGGCCAGGCAGTGGCTATAAGTTATTGGATTTCCCGGCCGCAATTACACGGGCCAAGCGGCCCTTCTATTTACCTGTGTAGACAACTCCATTTATTTCTATTGACATGTTGATACTGCTAATGCCGTTGGTGGACAGGTTCAATGCGGTCTCCTGTCTGTCATCTGGGGAGAGGAAATACCAATATGAGCGTTAAGAGAAACAGAAACAAGAACCTGCCAGAAAGAGAAATGGGGCCCCATCTTCTCCGGGCAGCTCGGCTCTCGAGGCCTGGCGGATACCTGCCCATCTCCAGCTGGTGCGCTGGCCGTGGCAGGGCTTTCTGAAGGTCAGAGGAATCACAGGGCTAACCAGGTAGTCCTCCTGGGCTAACCAGGGCACTCGGTGCCAGGGGATGGCTGGCAGAGGCTGGGGGGGTTGCATTCTGGCCTCCCTGCGCCAGGCTGTGCCTCCCATGGTGCGCACCCATCCCTGAGCTCGCCCTGGATCCTCGAGGCCATTTGGCTGCTCCCTCCGGGCTCTGCACCCAGGGTGTCCCCATGGCAGGTAATGCGCACCGTGCTTGCTACCTCTGTTGGAGATCTTGATGTTCATGGGGAACTGGGACGCCATGGCCAGGAGGTTGTGCTGCAGCGCGTGCTGCATGAGCCGCTGCAGGGCCCCGTTTTTCTCGGGGGGCTCCCCCGTCTCCAGCTTCTCCCGCAGCTGCTCCAGCACCGCCGCCTGCGACGCAGCTGCTGCCTGGGCTGCCACAAGGTGGTGGCCAGCCAGTCCCACGGGGATGGCGATGCGGCCGGGCACCGGTGCTGACAGCGCGCTGTCTTCTGCAACGATGGGGAGAGCTCAGCAGGTACCGCTCGGCCCTGGGGATGGCGGAGAGCAGGAGACAGCGCCCATCTCTCCATCCCCAGCTGAGCAAGCACCCAGGTCTTGGCCCACAGGCTGCCTGCTCCTGCTAAGCACCAGTGGGCAAGGGGGACACAGAGAGGAGGGCACCGTTGGGAGCATTTGGATTTGGTTCCCCTCTAGAACTGGGTAAGACAGGAAAAATAAAGCTTGTTCAGTCCCAAGAGACCAAATGACCAAAATTGCTCCTCTTTTCCCTATAAACCGGGCAAGAGCAGCCGAGGAGGTACGCCTGCTGTCAGTGGTACACATTTCTGGGAGAGATGCCCAGTGGGGAGCAGACGTGGCCCTCACCCACCTTTCTTAACGGTGTGCACTTGGCTGATCTGGCTGCAGCTGTGTGTGGAGATGCTGAGGGCTGGCAGGGACATTTTGGGGGAGCCCAGCAGGGTTGGGGTGCCAGTGGGTGAGTAGTTGAAGAGTGCTGTCCCAAAAGTCTGCCTCCGTCCCTCTCGCCGGTTGCTGTCGATGGCAGCCTGGAGCTCTCCCGGAGAGCTGAGCGCCTGCTTCTCACATTCATAGGGGTACAGGTACTTCATGTATCTGTGTGGGAGGGAGCCAGGATGAGACCCAGCACCACGCGGCTCCTGGCCACCCCTGGGCTAAGCGGGGGGGACTGGGGTGGGGATGGCACCCATGCTGGGAAGAAGCAGAGCCTTCTGTCTCCCCATGGGACACTCCAGCTGTAACGCAGCACGTGGGTGCGAACAGAGTCCCAGTCAGGCGCTGCGGGCAGGGTCGGGGCTCTGGGGCTCCTGAGCCAGCAGGATGCCCCGCAGCTCATAGCGTGGGTAGAGAGGGCCACGCTTGGGTGCTGGCGTGGGGAAAACCCGGCGCCTGGGTGCTCACTGCGTGCGGAGGGTAAAGGCAGCACTGGTGATGGAGGTAGGTAGGTTGAGGCCCTTGGTGATCTCCCGCCAGATCTTCTTGTTGATGACTTCGACCAGGCCCCCTTTGTCCGTCACCAGGCGGTACAGCGTGTACAGGTCCAGCACCTGCTTGGCCATGATGGGGATGCGGTTCACGGGCGTCCCTTCCAGCCGCGCACGGGAGACAGAAAGGGATGCAGGGTGAGGCCACGGGGATGGAGACCCTCGCTCCCCAGGGACACGACCGCCCCTCGCCCAGCCGTCCTGGGACAATGACAGCCTCGTCCCCACCACCGCAGCCGTGCGCTGCGTCCCCCAGCCCTGCTCCGCGCCAGCGCTGGCTGCACCCG